GCACAGACACAGGGAGAGAATCATTGGAAGATGCAGGCAGAGATTGGGGTAAAGAGATAAGCAAACCACCAGAAACTGGGAAAAGCATGATACATAGTCTCCCTCACAACACTCTGAGAGAATCCATACTGCTGAGAAATTGATTTTTGACTTTGAGCCTCTAATTGTGTTTTTGGTAAGTAGTTATGCCAGCCGCAGGAAGCTGATACTCATATTAGTGATTGAGCTTTTCTTTTACACCCTTAGCCAATTTCTCACCTGGTTCTTTAAAGATTGACCACTAACTTAGCTTTTATGTCTTCCAAGTTAATTCCCAGAGTTCATGCCCAAATTTAAAAAAAAAAAAAAAAATCCTAGAAGAAAATTGCAGAGAGACCTACTCAACAACAGAGGCAGCTGGTTATTTCCTCAAACAGCACCTGTTAGTGGAGTCCAGGACACCTCTTAGTGGAGTACTCACTATCTGATGGTATAAATGTATAGTATATTTGGGTTTTGAGATCTCTTATTGGACTGGGGCTCATTCTTCACGAAATTTTCAGTACCCAGCATGGTTTGGCACAAACATGTGCTGTGATTAATGTGTAATAGTAGCTAATGACTATGACCAGTTTTTCCATTTATGCTCTCTGTCTGCCAGGATACCTCTGTTCCCAGCAGCTGTTCCACTCTGATGTTGACCACATGCCAAATACAAGCACACACTTCTGCCATATGAACTTTCTCCCCATTCCTGAGGCTAGTTCTTTACCCAAACACCAAACACCCCAGATGGAGGAAGCAGGCACCTATTTTTCTGAAATGTTAAAGATCTTTCTTTTTTCTACGAGTTTTCTTAAAATTTTGTTTTGTTTTGTTTTCATCTAATTATATGTTTACCACTGTGTTGTAGTCTTTTCTGGCTTGTTCTACTCAATATGAGTAGAGATTGAGATGTTTGATAGTTAAGTTGAAATATACAATAAATGTTATCTGAAGCTACAATAAAATCTGATTTGTAAAATAAAGCTATATTTAATAAAACACAACAATGTGGAAGAAAGTCCTGGAGAAACTGTTAAAGCAAATTACTACTTTTCTCGGAATGGTTGGATAGCTGTTGTTTTTATTCTTTATAAAATTTTTGTTGTAGTAAGATTGGTTAAACCTATGTATACTTCAGGTGTACAGTATTGTAGTTTGTGGAACTCTCTACATCATGATCTTCACCAAACATCAAGCTTCTATTCACTACCATGTAATTGGCCCTCTTAACCCACCTCCCATTCCTTTTTGTACCATTACTATTGAAAGTCTAGTTGTTTTCATTCTTTTTGTGCATTTTCCAAATTGTTGAAATTAATCTGAATTACTTTAATCTATACTGTTATATTATACCTTTTATTGTGGGTGTGTTTAATGTGGGCATTGCATAGTTTTGCTTTATATGAAGTTTACTAACAAATTCACCAATTGCTGTTGACCAAATGAATTTGACATTACAAAGACCCCTTAAGTATGAAATAATTACATATAGATTACACAGGAATAAATTCCAAAATTGTTGACTTTAAAAACAAATATATTCTGTATGACCATTTTGGCCTATACAATTTTTCTTTTTTTTTTTTTTTTTTTTTTTATAGAGGCATGTTTTTATTTTATTTATTTATTCGTTTGTTTTGTTTATACATGCACTGGGTACAGTCAGAAGCGCGGGAGGGTGAGAGAATTCACCAGAGCCAGAGCGGGGAGCAGAGCAGGCAGAAGGACCAAAGCACACTGCTGAGGGGAGCAGCGGGCGGCAGGAGAGGTCTGCGCACCATGTGGGACCCTCCTCCGGTGGCTGGGGAGCAGCCGGGGATCGAACCGGCGCCGCAGAGGCCGCGGGCAGCTTCACAACCCAGTGCTCAACCACTGCGCCACCGGGGAGGCCCTACAATTTTTCATTAGAAACCATCTAGAATGGAATCAACATCCTTCAGGCTGCTACCACCAGAGCAAATTACTTATTGCTCATACCTCCTATAGTCTGGAGAACTCATTCCACCTGCTTACCAGGGGACATTTAGGTGAACAGCAATTAGGTAAACATATTGGTTATCCAGGAAAAGTTCTATTATGTTTGTAAGTTTCTTTTAAATAAATGAAATATTCCACTGTATTAATATATTAATTCAACACAAAGTCACAAGTAATACAACAATCTGATCATATTTAAAAAATAAATTACTGCTTATTTTATGTGGAAGAAATAAGGTTAATTCAAAATTAAATATTCACTAACATGTCAGGAACTATAATGCCTTAAGACTAAAATAAGCATTCATTGCCAAACTAAAAATTAAAGGGCTTGCTCTTCAGCTCCACAAAACTGTTGCTTGCCACTTTTCCTAATGAAAAATATCAAACAAAATAAACAGAGAGGCAAAATAGAAATAACAGTGGCCTTGGCATCACGAGTTAAAAATCCCATAGGTAATATGGATGAATATAAAAAGTACTTGATTTTCTTTGAAAAGGAGTCAGAACGAAAATTATTTTTAACACATCAAAAATGAATTCACTAGCATATTTATATGCATTATTTTGACAAAGTATGTTTTCTGAAGTTATATATTCTTTGGCTTTTCCATATTGCCTGGGATGAGTAAATTATGCAGACTTCCAGGAAATTCCTAATACTTAACACCCTGAGCTTTAGGAATATGTTATGAATCCTTGAAGGAAAAAAAACGAGGATAAAAGGATGTTATCACTTAAACTTTTATCTCTACCCAAAAGACAACAGCATCAACACAGATTGTTTTTAGACTCAGAAATTTGTTGGCAACAGGTAACCATCACAAACTACCCTCATCTTAGATATATTGTATCTTTTCTTAGAAGAGTTCAAAATGCTTTGATAAGAATGTTAATTCCTAACTATCCATTGTGTATAACTATAACTGATATGAAACATAGCATACAGAAAATACATCTATCTGCATATAGCAACAGGTATAAAACCTCATCCATTTTCACTAAATGACCTAACAAATTATTTTTCTTTGGGAAAAAGCAGACATTCTATGTGGATGAGAAAACTAAGAAGTAACATGAAATCTCTATTATTCACACAGAATAATTGTGGGAAAAAGGAAACTATCTTTGAAGTTCAAATTAAAGTTGAACAGCTAAAGCTCCATTTTCCCTTAGCTCAGAAATATTCACTCTCCCAAAATATATGTGGTCTGTTTAGGAAATATATTCAGTCTTTAACCCAGTCTTTGAGAAATTTATTTTAAACTTCAGCCAAATTTCACTGTTTTAATTATGCAAGACTTACTAATTTAATAAACTCACTCTACAGCCCACTGCTCAGAGTCTTTACAGCAGGATTCTAATAGAGCCAGGTCCAAAATGCAAAAATGGTGCCATCTGCATCACCACATCCACTCAAGCAGCACTGCCATTAAATTAATAGTACAGTCTGCAAGATAAAACAGCAGAAACCCCAAACGTGTGAAACCAGTTGGGTTTCTGTTTAACCTCTAGCAGATAGAAACAAGTAATCAGTTCAATCATGGCTTACTTAGTCAATCTGTACCCAAGAGCTGTATCCAATTTCTCTGACCAAAGGAATTAAGAACCAAAAAAGGAAAGTGAGCAGTTAGGAGACATTAGTACTCTGAGTACAAATATAAATAAATATGCGTCAGTTGAGTGTCAATATTCCTCACTGTGTTAGTTAGACTGACCATTCTGGAACAAACTCAAACATCAGGATTAAATACAATATCTGCAAAATGACTTTAACATGACATAAAAAAGAAAGTATGGGGGGAAAATATATTTACATATATTTATATTGTAATATAGATTCATTTATTTAAGATTAAAACTTCTATTATTTGAAACTTTACCATTTGCAACTGTGAGAAAGTAATTTTATTGCAATAGTAAACTCACTGCAGATAATTTTGTATTAGCCAGTTTTTTTATAAAAGATTTATTTATGTATGTATACAAAAGCTGGGGTACAGGCCAGAGGTGGGGAGAGAGGATTCACCAGAGACACAGCAGGAAGCAGAACAGGCAGAGTGACTGAAATACACTGCTGAGGGGAGCAGCAGGCAAGTCAGGAGACTTCTGCTGCACCATGTGGGTAGCTCCCTGGCCGGGGATAGAACTCGTGCTGCAGCGGCTGGGGACAGCTTCATAGGTTGTGTCTTAACCCCTTGAGCCACCAGGAAGGCCCTGTATTAGCCAGTTTTTGATATAACATCTAATTTTCAACCCAGGAAAATTCTTTAATTTTCAGTCTGTATTAAACAAATATCTTAATTACAAGATTTTTTTTTACCCTGGATTACCCAAAATCATGGAGGCTGATATTTAGAAATGTCCTTTGAATGTCTTTGCGCTCCATAAGTTTCTTTAAAGTCCTATGAGTACACGGCCCACCCCATGAAAATTGATGATTTTAAGATGAACAAGACAATGCTGACCATTATTAATATGCCTTTACTGCAAAATTGCAGTTACTGGATTCAGTTTAGTTGAAAGGGCTATTAATCTTTATGTTGTCACTCTCAATCTACCCCTGGAGGCTGTGGGGCCAGGACAATTTGCAGTGAGACAATGTAATGACTGAACTCTGCATTTCTCTGCCTAATCTTTCAAAGGTACTACAAGACATAAAAAAAATTCAAGGCTAACAAAAATTAAACTAGTTCTTATTATAGTAACATAAGCATATTGACAGTAAGTCAAATCTTAATAAATAGAAAAAAATTGTAAACAAGATCAATGCAAACATATGAAGGTACATTGATTCCAGTTTTTAAATATCCATGTATTTATGCATGAAGTTAACTAAACTGCAAAGAAACTTATTTAAATACTATAAAATGTTAAAATAAAAGAATGTTAAATTAAGGATTTGTGAAATGAACATGAACATTCTTTTCTTCCATATAAATACTCCAAAGTATATGTCCTAAACAAAAATACAAATAAACTCAAAATTTAATATTTACCTTTAGTTTGTATTTTCCGTTCAGGTTTCTCCTGTTTTTCTGTCTTTCCTTTATGTATATCTAGTGAAAAATAAAATGTATAATTGAGAAATTCTCTTTTGCAAATGTAAAAAGTTTAAAACATACCTATGATATAAACTTTATTATTTTAATGTGAAATCTAAATTATCATATTTAATAAAGTTACAGGAATTTAAGAAAAAAGCCTTTCTAATATTTTGCAATACTAGTCATTTATTGAAGTAGGAGAAAACTGGAGTTACTCAAAGTCATTTGAAAACATTTAAAAACTTACATCAATGGAGATGTGTAAACGTTTTCAGTGCTTAAATTTGATCACATACTATAATTATGTTTTATTTCAATTACTTGCAATAGAAATTACGATTCCTTAGTAAGACTGTTATTTAGATTTAGGAAGATTCATTTTTTTGCATGTTAAATTCAGAATTCATGAAATGAACTCTAACATCTAATAGGAAATAAATCTCAGAGATAGTATCTTTAACTTATGTCTATAATCAGAATTTGGCATTTCATTTAGCCAATGATTATGCAGATATAACACATTTCATAGAATAAGTATTTGCTACATTTTTCCCTAAATATCAGGTTTTAACAAATATATCTCTTTTGATGCTGGTTTCAGTATACATATATTGCCATGGCTTAGAAAATGAAGTTAATTTTGAATTTGCAGCTAATTTGAAAAGAAGTAAATTTGAGATTAGAGCTTACCAATATGATTACTACCTCTGAGATGTGACTTAATCTTAAGTATCATGGCTTTTCTTAGAAAAATGCTAATGAGGTTTACTTATTTATTTATCGCAACTTTATTCCACAGATGGTCTGAGATGACGTTAATTACTATATGCATTTAAATTTTCCATTTGTAAATTTTAATTTGCATTTTTGTAATTTTTCCAGATGTCTAAGATGAAGACCAAACATTAAAAAATCCTAGATCTCTTCAAGGAAAAAGTAAAAAAACAGTTACACACTTTCATTCCCGTGCTAAGAAAGTAACCAGTTCTTCCCCCTACCCCCCACCCCCCACCCCCTGCACAACCCCTATAGGTCATACTATTTACAGGGCCACCCCTCCATCTTTATCCCATTCCTGACTTTGAATATAGCAGTGGAGATGGAGATGAGGTGAGATGCTGAAAACATTCTGGGGAAAAAAAAAATCTCCAAGGTGCAAGGAAAGAGCTCCAAAGGCATAGGAAATAGTCATCTTCTTAGGTCTTTTACCATGTTTTTAAATCTCTTCCCTATATGTCTCTAAATCTTACTCCAAAGCAGAGTCTCTCATCTTAGCAACAATAATTTTGGGGGTAGGGCAAATCATCATTTGGGGATGGAGCAAGGCTAGACCACGTGTACTCTCGGGAATTTTGCAACTTCCCTGATGTCTGCCTGTTAGATGACTGTAGCCTCCATACTCTTCCTTAATCATGACTACAAAAACTGTCTTCAGATATTACCAAGTGCCTCCCTGTAGGACAAAATGACCCCCAATTTGGGAACTTGTACTTTAGGACTACTTTGAAGAGGCAAGAAAATTAGCCTAATCACTCGTTGTCACTAAGTATATTGATAGTCTTCAATGCATGAGCCACTAGACAAGAGAGCATATTAAGGATGCGATATATGGTCAGTCTAAAGAGAGATGCTATCAGTGTAAGTTCACACTGGATTTTGAAGAAAGTACAAAAAGGAAAACAAAATATCTCATGAATACATTTTACATTAGCTGCCTATTGCAATGATATTATTTTTTAGCTATTGAGGGTGATAGTCTCAATTATGTGTAAAGTTGTTTAGGCTACTATCCCAACTCATTCAAATGGACAGTAACCAAGGAGTTGCTGTGAAGGTATTTTGTAGATGTAACTAAAATTCCAATCCATTCACTCTAAATAAGAAAATAATTCAAGATGATCTAAGGGGACTAGTATGAGCCTATTGAAAGGCCCTGCAGAGATCTGAGGTTTCCCAGGCAGAGCAAAGCAGTTCTGTCTGTGGATAATAGCTTTAGGTTAAGCCCACTGGCTCAAACCTGCCTGGGATCTTCCCTTCTGACTGCATTTTCTCCAGGTTCTGCCTTGCTTAGCCAGTGCCCACAATTAAAGGGTCAATTCTATGTAATAAATTTCTTAATCTATTAAAAATATATCTGCATAATCTCCTACTCCTGCTTCTCTGGTGAAGCCCTGTTTGAAACATTGAATTAAGTAAAATATGATGTTAAAAATAATTTCATATTTTCTCCTTTTTTAAATATGAGTCCTCACAGATATTAAGTTATATATGTGACACATTATATTACTATTGAACAATGCTGATCTATTTCTAGTGGTGGGTAAATTAATTTTTACAATCTTAGATCATTCACAGGATTAAATCTACTACAAGTGAATTGAAAAAAAAAAGCAAATTTGAAATATTCTTCTGTCACTACCACCCTACTTTTTCTTATTTATGTTCAAACCAATAGAATTTTTGGAGAAGATTGTGTAACTCAGGTCAGCAAAGCAAGTAAATAGCCTAAGACTCAGAGTGATCTTTGGATAGGCTCTAAGGGAGTTACTTTAAAGAAGTAAATTCTTATTCCTAGCAGAAATTAATTTCAGTGCAGAATTTAGACAAAATTTTCTAAATTAAAAAAATTGCATAAAATAATACACTGAGAATGAGATATAATGGGCTTAAAATTGTTATTTAGAATACATTGTTTCATTGAGAAGGTGTGTATATCTTAGTGTGTGTGTGCTCCTCAGATATCTATCTGCTGGACACTCAGAGATTCTGGAACTCACACTGGAGGATAGAGGTGAGCTAGATTCTTCTGCAACATTATGTACTGAAGGCCTTCCTGCCTGAACAATTCTATCAGAGTCTCCTACCCTAAACCAATTTTGGGAAATATACTGTTTGAACAGAGTGCTGGTTTGTGGGACAAGACAGTCTTTATCAGTTCATGACCAGGGCACTGACGTTATATAGGTTGAGTTACATAGGTTGAAGGAACCTAGTCAATGAGGCAAAATTTCACCTACAGTGAGCATCAAGCATTCAGGCTTTTGGCAGTGCTACAGGTTTCCAAGTTGTGTGGTGAGGGTCCACGGTGATGCCATCCACTAGGTCAACTCCTTGGTCAAACTACCTTGAAAAATCTCATGTCAACCTCAAACTCTAGGATTGATTAAGCAGTAGAAATAGAATCATGTAGGGATTATAATTAATTTTGGGCCCAAAGCCCAGAATTGTTCTCTTTGTTTTTCAAGTATGGAGCCTTATCCTGGGACACTTGCTCCTGTTTCTAAGATCCAAGTGTTTCAAACTCTGGCTAGTGTGAGAGCACGAAGTTGCAGCCTCAGTTTTGGCCCTGGGTGGGGATAAGGCTGGTTTTTTGCATATCGTAGCCACAGTGGCAAATAAAAACCTAGTCTATGCAGAGACATGGGTAATCTTCTCTGAATCTTCACACCAGTTTCAATTTCAATGTTCTAGTTTCGTAGCCACAGTGTGGCTCTGTTAAACTTAAGCAGCCTGTTCGGCTGCCATTATAGTTACCTGCAGTTCTGCATTCCTGTACAAGGTCAAAGCTTCAGAACTGGTCTATCAGCCATAGGAGCCAAACCTTACAAAGTTCCTTTCCAGTCAATCAAGAGCAGAACGCTTGATCACCCTGGTAAGGGATCTTGCTCTCAAGCAGCATCCTGCATTATGTAGCCTGCTCCACGACTTCCGTTTCTTTATCATTGTAGTGTTGACCGACGCAACACCACAGGCTCACAACACTCTGCTCTCTTACTCTTAAAGTTTTCCAGTATTACCCCTCTGTCCTACACACCAGTTCTTTGCACCCTTTACTCCCATGTTGTGCCTAGTTTGAAAGATCTCCAAAATGGACAAATGCCCTTGAGATAACAACAGCAGAGGGGCTCTGCACTGGACTCAACAGTTCCTCTAATGGGTTGTACTGCCCTTGTGTCACTGTAAACACAGTTTAATAAGTTTTTCCTACACTTTCTACTGTGATATTACTGTTAATGTATGTGATCACCAGCCATTTATCTTTCAAGGGTTTTGTTCATGTTTAATTGTAATTTGGTTGTGAATGTATGGTGGAGATAAGTCTGGTGTCTTCAATCTTGTCAAACTCACTCTTTCATAGATTCTTATAGCTACTCATCTCCCACTCTAAAACTAAAAAAAAATTATGTCACTGAAAAACATTAAAAGTTTTGATTTAAATACATTTACAAATACTTTTCATAAAATAACTTAAAAAGGACCTACAAAGGATTTAGAGTAACATATATCAAGCAAGCATATTATAAACATTGGCTAATATGAATATTATTTTATTTTCACTATATTTGATGTAAGTATTGTCTATTTTGATCCACATTAAATTTCCACACTCAACACAATGATTGACATATACTAGTACTTGATAAATACGAGAGAAAACAAATGTTTATGCATGATCATAAAAAAGGTGACTGGTGGATCACATCTCACCTATTCTTTATGATACAACTCTATGTAAGTACTAAAATGAGTATAGCTGAAAATTTTAAAGCTATATGTTCTCATAAACATTTTTATTTTCTATTACATATGCTTGGGAATGGTGCAAATTTTACTTTTTATTGAAATAAAATATGTGAAATGTATTTGCAAGCTGAAACATACAAAAATTACATCTGTTTCTTATTGTTGTGGAACACTGAATAATATTAAATTAAGGTCATTGAGCATTTTTAACACTATGCCTCAATCAAAACATATTCATAGAAGTTTATATGAAAAACAAGGTTCCTATCAATTGAAAATATCACACCTTTAATAAGATATTGACAATAAAATATTATGTCTATTTCAACAACAACAATAACAGGAAAACTGAGGACAAGATTTAAAAATATTATATAATCTAGCTTAAAATTTCTAATCCTTTTCTTCTACATGTTAGGTACTATTAATATTGCAATTCTCTCGCATTCCCTATTGATGGTTATGACATATCAGTAATGATCCACATT